TCCAAGGACTCCACTGTGCAAGGTGACTTGGGCACAAAAGCTAGTGCCATATTGCCTTGACACTTCTCTTTGTTCTGCCTGTCACTTACCAAAAAAAGAAGATCTGCAGTGAGTCCTCTGCCTGAGCAGAAGCCCTTTCTAGCATTGGGAGGACCCTGCTGGAGAAGGTAAGTGGCATGTCATCTGGCATTGCTTGCCAAAGTTAGGCTTGTGCTGTTGGAGAAGTTATTCCAGATGATGTACCACTTGCCTGGCATGAACAAAGCAGTATGGTTGCTTTCCTCACGAGGAGGATGCCATGATACTTCTGGAAGTGTTTTGAGGGAGTGCTTTATTCAAACCTTCATCAAAGCAAAGCTCCCCTTCAAAGTTTTGCAATGTAGCCTCTTGGCATTCCAGGTAACCAGGGATTGAGGTTGGGATATCTGGGCAGCAGTGTGGCCTATGGGATTCTTACGCATGGGTCTCCTAGTGCATCCCTAACCCTGCCTTCAGTCTCTGTGTAAATATGGTGTATATACTATAACATGTAAAATAGAATTTTGGCCCACTGGCAAGTCAGTACAATGTGGGTTCTTCCTCCTCCAAGAGGCTGGTATCTTGAATGAATCTAACATGAGTGTTTCATTTTTCAGACACATTCCTGCCTTTCTCTTAGCACACAGTTCAGAAATCATCACAGTTGGAGCAGAGTACAATTTTAGCAATGAATAATATATATCCATCCATCCATCCATCCATCCATCCATCCATCCATCCATCCATCCATCCATCCTATATTATAAATATATAATCTAAATATAAATATGAGAAGCATTTGATTTTTTGAACTGAAAAATATTCCATGTTGGAAATATTTGGGCTTTTCTGTGTAGGGGTTCCCAGGACACTCAGTTATTAGGAGATATGTTGATTTCTGAATGTAAATAACCTTTCATTTACTTTTTAGAATTGAACAGTACTACGAAGCTATTATGGCTCTCTGGAATCAACTTTACATCAACATGAAGAGCCTGGTGTCTTGGCATTATTGTATCATTGATATTGAAAAAATCAAGGCTATGACTATTGCCAAGGTGGGTATCATATAAGCTATGTGCTATGGGGTTTCCCCTACAGCTGAATCAGTTTGGTATCCACATAGTTACCAGTTTTCTTTCTGGACAGGGGATCCATGCATATGTATCTAATTTTGAAGAACTGATAGGTTGAAGTTTCAGCTGTGCCATTGCTGAGTCTGTGCAGATCTTTAAAAAGACTTCACTTTAACGCTTGAACAATCTAACACTCCTTTCAAAGTAGTCCTTCTGGTTGGTGCTGTGCTTCTCTTCCTTAAGGTGAAGTGACTGCTTTGGTTTGTTTAGTATTGATGGCTTTGCATATGCACAGCACATTTGCAGAAGAAGCTGCTGTTACTAGAACAGCCAATCAAGACAGACCCCCATTTTGACTCCTCATTGAGGCAAAGCAGTGCACTCCCCACCAAGGGCTATGCCATCAGGATAGAATGAAACAACTTGTTAAGGCCGATCATGGGCAAAATAAGTGCTTCTAGCAATTATCTTGGAGTTCAGTAGGAGTTTCTTTTAAAAGCGATGTAGCAATTGATTCCAAATATTTATCACTCGCTTGACTGGTATTCTGCTCCTACGCCACATTCATAAAGATTTTTGGGTGGGGAAAAGATAGTTAATATATGGAATTATGCATAGGGGTTGACATAAGAAGATGTAATGCAGAAGTAAAGTATCATCCTTCTATTTATCTTAGGAGATGTTTCTTGAAATGTAATACAGGAATTCCAATCCTAGTTTGCTTAGGTAAATGATATTATATCATCTGGCAGTGCTTGCCAAAGTTGGGCTTGTGCTGGTAATGTTAATTATTCCAGATTAAGTCTGAAATTATATATATACATTATTTATTATTAATTATATACATACATATATATATATACATACACACACACACACACATACATACTTGTCAAATGATAAGCCACTAAAGGCACTGGAGCTTACTTCAAAGTAAAAATAAATAGCATTACGTTTGTATGTGATGACAAACAATATGCTCAGTGTGGTAGACTGAAAAATAATTGATGCTTAATATCCTGATATTCATTAGAGCTTGTATACATTCCGTACCCTTTTATCACTGGGTAGTGCTTTTGAACAATGCAATAATTGAGTTTGAACGTAAATTCCTCTTGCATTCAGGTAAGCTTGGAGTGCTGTTCATCAGTTCTCCATATTATCTGCACCTCCTGGGCCAAGTTGCCTCCCATTCTTAAGAGACACCAAGCAACAGGAACAGGCTGTTGGGCTGAGGGGTTGCAAAAGAAAGAAGATGGGCAAGTCCCTATCTGAAGTTGAACTCTGCTCTGTTCACCCAATATAAAGTACAGGTCCGAGCCATTGGCCTTCCAAGTCGATAGAAGAAGTTTGTAGGGTCTGATTCAGCGGTGTCTATGGCAGAAGGAGGTTTAAAAAGTCAGGATGGCTGTTGTGGCAGCGTGATGGAAGCCCTGCTCCTTTTTATTCGTGCACTGGTATTGCAGGGCTTCCATTGCATTTCCGTAACCACCATCTTCACTTTTTTGACTTTCCCTCCAGACCATTCTGGTCTGATTTGTGGTGAAATTGTCAGTAAGGATCCAATGAAGTATTTCAAGTAATTGAATACACCAATTCTTCCTAACCTGGTGAGTGCTGGATGTATTAGATTACAGATCTTATTTTCTGCAACCAGTGTGCCATCTGGCGTGGTAGGCTTGGGACTGCTGTATCGAATAAATTGCTTGCATGCTTTGCAAAAACACTTTTTTTGAATGCTTGGAACAGCCTTAACAAGACAGGCATTCCAGACATTTGAAAGACTGTCTGCCTTTTCTCAGCCCTTGTCTCTACTGATAACATAGCTCTTAATTTTGTAAGTATCCTTGTATCTGCTGACATAGACTTTCTGGGTTCTCTTATCTGCACATTCCACAGTCTCTAGCCTTAGACACTTCATACTAACATAAACTTACATGTTAAGTCATTTGTCATTTTTATTCATCCTCCCCAGTCTCCAGCCACCTTGCCCTCCTGAGTCATTTCCTTTCATCTATGGGGACCACTTGTAGCAATGCATTATGTAGAGATAAATTTGCCATCAACCTGCTTGGGCTGCTTTTCCTGAAATTGTTTGTATTTATTCTTTGTAGCTGAAGACAATGCGCAGAGAAGATTATCAAAGAATAATTGCTGACTTGGAGATCCATTACCAAGAATTTATCAGGAACAGCCAAGGCTCAGAGATGTTTGGTGATGATGATAAGAGGAAGATCCAGACTCAGTTCACTGATGCTCAGAAGCATTACCAGACATTGATCATCCAGCTTCCGGGTTCACATCCTACTCCAAGTTAGTGTCCTAGTAAATACTAGTAACTGTTGTCATTCTTCACATCAGCTAGCGACTCACTAAGCCAGCCATAGCCCATCTGCTAGACATGCGGTTTCCTGAGGCTGCCTCTGTTTGAGGCTGAAAAATGTTGAGAAAGTCATTGAAAACTTTGCTATTCTCAGAGATCTTGGGGCAGAGTGGGGGTTTGGCCCCTGTATGTTGTTTTGTTGTTACATACAGTTTACCTTTTGGACTCTTACAGTCTGTACTTTTTAAAGATAAGCTGCCCAGAGTCATCTGGAGTTGGGTGACCTCTAAATCATATTAAATAAGAATGAGTAAGACTGCCAAGGATCCATTAGGCCATAGTGTATGATTGGAAAGCTGAATTCAGCTTGGGACATCATACCTTATGCTGGTGTGGGCTTCACAAAAAGGCCCCATATGAAAAGCAAGACTTATCAATTAGAGCATTTGCAATAATGGGATGCTGACAACTGTAGGAAAATATATTTTAATTACATAGAATGGCATCTGGCACCAGCCCAATCCTTTCTATTGCATTTTTTGAGTGGTAGAGAAAGACAAAAGTATTCAGCATCGTGTTCATGTTATACCTGATTTCCTTTCCAAGCCATACTGCTGATGAAAATGTGATGCTTGTCTTACTATCCTCATCCTCAAATGTGTTTCAAAATGCCCTTTTCAGTTTAAAACTCTCTTTTCACATTTTTTCCCATTCCCCCCCCCCCCAGTTATTCCAGTAACAGTTGAACAAAGTTTAGAAAAGGGCCGGGAACAGGAAAAGCAGGAGGCCTGGCTACTCATGGAACTCCAGAAACTTCGTCGCCAAATTGAAAACTGTGAGCTCAGAATGGTGCAGAGGACCACCCTCCAGTTGGATCAAGGGGCCTCTCATAATTTGTCTGTCAGAATCAGTGAATTAGAGGTACATATATTTGCTATGAATAAATTATCTGTGTCCCCTCTCCCTATACCCACACCATTCTTCTTTACATTTGACATATTCTTAGGGCCCACATTTTCAATCTGATACTACTGAAGTTAGTGGCACTGGTTTAGCTAGCAAGGATTAATGATCACTTGAGGAATAACATCAATTGAGGAATGATCACTTGAGGAATGTCTCATTTATTATTACGTGTAAATGCAACACAGTTTTATATACATCACAGCAGTTATTACAGTATTGTTCAGGGAGGAGCAGCGCTAGATCTGCCTGGACAAGTCCCTGCAGTTTTCTTAGAGGATTCCAGATTCAGTTCCTTGCATTTCCAGTTAGAATCAAAGAACAAGTTTCAGATTGGTTCTCTGAGTACAAGAAATGTGTGCATGTGCAAATGATACTTACTTTTCTTTTCAGGGTATACAAAATGAATCCCAGTCAATGGCAGAGGCTCTCAACAGGCAGAAAGATTATCTTCCAAATTTTAGAGGCTCTGAGAAGTATCTCTATTTGCAGTCTGAAATTAATGCTTTGTTTCAGAAGTTGGAAAATATTAATGGGGTTTCTGATGGCTATTTGGACAGGTAAGAACAATGCAAAGGTTAACTATATTCTAGACGTCTGCTTTGTTTTCAGTAGTTGGCACTCCTATCTAGCCAAGCATATCTTTTATGAGGATTTAAAGCATTCATATGTTCTAGATTGATAACGTTCTGTAGGAGGAGAGAGAGAACAAAGTGTGATGGTTACTGTTGTCTGCTCTAAGATAGGTAGCTTATTGGGGGACTTGTATTATCAACCTACCTACCTCATAAGGTTACAGTGTGGCTAAAATAGGGAGATGGAAAGACATGTAACTGCCTTACTAGTAAATAACTTAGGTTTTGCAATGAGGTGACCCAAGTTCTTCAAAAAAAGGTGTCCATTTCTTATATGCATATGTGGATCAAATAGTTTTGCATATGGAACAAAGGACTTACTTTTCCTTATGCTGCCTCAGATCAGGATGTTTGTTTCCTGTTCCTTATCCTTTCCAAATTTTTCAGAAGCTGAAGGTACACTATTTATTAAAATAGAACAACACAACAAAGCATATAGCCTTCTAGTTAAGGGAGCATACAATACAATTATTCTGCAACACTTAGAAACCAAGAGTTTGTGTGAATAGGACATGCCCACAATCAAAAGAAAATTTAGCAATGCAAGAATACTTGAATTGGGGACAGGTGGGAAAGGTGAGTGGGTAAAAGCAAATAATATTTTTTAGTGGAATCCTTGGTGCTCTCTGAGCTTGGTTGTTTGCTTGGAGACGTTTCATTACCCATCTAGGTAACATCAGTGCAAGTGAGTGTGGGGTTTGCTCCCTGTTTATATACAATAGCTTGCCCTGCCAGTGTTGGAGTGGGTATGGTTTTATTCTTGGTAGTTCCTTGATCTTTTTTAGTAAATCTAGAAAATACTAAAGTAATACTAGTAATACTAGGTACTGGTAATACTAAATACGAATACTAGTAACGCTAAATATTTTTAGTCCCTGACTTTCTTTATGCCACTGTTGTTGCAGCTTGAAAGCACTGCGATCACTGCTTCAGGCAATTCTCCAGACAGATGATGTGATTCGAGTATTCGAAATTAGGCTTACAGAAGAGGACACTCTTTCTTTGGATCCAGATAAAGTAGAGGCCTATCGAGCTTGCCTAAAGGTGAGAAAGAAAAAGAGAATGTTTGTTTTGTTTTTCTTTTCTTTTTTAAATGTGGAATTGGATTACAAATTGGTTACATTGAGCTATGAATTGAACATATTTATTTATTTAAAGCAATTCTATCCCACCTTTGAAAAGCTCTGGAGATTTATTACTGAATAATGAAACAAGACAGAATAATGAAAACAAAACAGCCCCTGCTTTCAGATGTACAGTCTAAAAAAGCATAGAAGGAAAATGGGATAGGGAGGGCAGAAGGAAGACTAGAAAACAACATTAGTAGGTGTGAGCAAGGATCCCAGTTCCTTGCTATTTTCTTTTCTTTCTCATATTTACCACATCATCACTTTTGCAAGATCCTTGATATCAGTGGGTATAGCCAAAGTAACCACTAACTTACCAATAGGAGAAAACTACTACTATTACTACTTATTGTGACATTATAGTATTATACTAAATATGCTTAGAACAGTATAGGTAGTCCCCAGTTTAAGAACGAGTTCCATTCCCAAGGTCTGTCCTTAAGTCAAATT